GGTTCAGAGTGTCCATGCCTCTGCTCCTTCAGCCTTCCAGGCACGTACATGCTAGTTAGAGAAGCACTTCAGCATAAAGCAAGGACCAAGCTCCCTGGGGCTGAGCACCAGCTCTGATTCCTCTGCACAGCTGGAAAGGAGAGGTTGCTGCTGATCCCATTGCAGCTGCCTCCAAATCCTACCGTCTTCTTCTCCCTCCCAGTCATTCCAGGACTTGGTAGTCCTCTTCCTTTCAGCAAACAGGGCCATGAACTCATTTTTCATTGATGGAGGCCAGCATTCTCAAACAGGGCTACATGTTTGATGCAAAGCCAATACTTCCCATCACAGCTGTAAGGGTGTCAATTTCCAGCGCCCAAACTTCCCAATATTCTCTTGTCTAAAAATTGATTAGTCTGGGATCAAGGCTATCATGGAGGGACATCCATCCCAGAATGAAAGGAAGCTATCCTCCACCACCTACCTCCCCATCACAAAGACACTTCACCTATTTTACAGAAACAATGTTTTATAGAAACAATGTATCTTTAGATCTTTCTAAACTGCATTACCCCAGGGTGTAAAGACCTCAGGGTGAGTAACAAAGAAACAAGTAAAAAGACTAATGCTGTAGAGGAGGGAGTCTTCAGCATCTGGGTTGCAATGCCTTTTCTAAATCAGGTAATCTCAGATTCATTTCAAATGACCTGAAATATTCAACTAGGAAGAGACCTAAGGTCAAAAGGAAAATATAATACTAGGTTTCAATTTATATATATTTTTGTTACAGAAAGAAATTATGACTGATAGATAAGACACTTTCAAGCATAAAAATAGATTATATTAGGATAGAATTCTGTAAGGGAAGGAAAACGAAAATATGAATTTAAGAAGGAAAAAAGGTATAAAGATTTTAACTGTTTTTAAGAAGAACTTATTCATGCATTTTTAAAAAACGAATGATACTGGGAATCCATTATAGACCTACTAAAATATTTTAATGATGGAACAATTTAAAAGGTCAAGATTTATAAGATGCTGAAAAATGTCATCCTTTGCAACTGTTTAAACTTAAGATGAAAAGTTTTAGCAAACACGTTAAAAATGTGCCTAGGGTACAGACTTCTACAGGATTTTTTTGGCGCTACAGGAACAAAAAAAGTGGAAGAACACTGCTATAGACTAACCATTGGAGACTTTCCAAGATGAAATAACTGAAAAGACAAAGAATGAACAATTTCCCACCTACCTAGTCCAGAGCAAGGATGGGTGGGAGATGGGGAGGGGATTAGCATTCTCTCCACCCTCTTCCTGGCCATCTGTTGAACATGGTTCTACAGCCAACAGTTTCTAAGCCGGAGGACCAGGTTACCAACTGCATTGCTGATGGGGTTATAGCCCTTGGCTGACGAGCTTGTATCTTACTTCCTAAGGAGAATTGCTACTTCTTGAGTACTCTTCATTGTTTTCCAGAAAAATTCATGAGGCAAGACCATAAAGGCTCTCTATTTTGTATTTCTCTTATCATTAGATGACAAATTTCACCGCTGGGGATGCAATATTGAATATATCTATCTGACTGGCATTTCAGGTGTAACATGCATTATGCAAAGAATTGGAGAGTTCTTTCCTGTGTAGTTGATGTTTTAAGCATGGCGAATGTACTGAGGAGGAATCCCAACAGGCACAGTTACGTACCCAAGCCTCAGATACCGTGTCTTTCCTTCTTTCTCTGATTTCGTACTCTCTTCTTCCCCACTGCCCTTTACGTCTTGTCAGCCGCTCCTTTGGGAAGCAGAAGGTAGTCTAAATATGATGGATGAGGCCAGCACTTAATTCGGTGTCTACACTGTTTGAAAAATATTGACTTTCCGGTCCTCAAGCTCTCAGAGAGACAGTGGGGCTATTTAGAGTAGACATTAGACCTACTTTAAACCTACTCCCATTTAGTGTGAAGAGGTAAAGTTTGAGATAAAAGGTCTTTCTTTAGAATCAGAAAGTTGGCTGAAAATCCCACTCCGCACATTTACCAAGTATGTTACTCAATTTCTCTGAATCTCAGGTTCCCAAAGTCCTTAAAATGGGGTGCTGAGGATTTGAGACAAATATGCGTCAAGCACCTAGAAATGTACAGCACGTAGTAGGCACTCAATAATCAACACTTATTAAGTTAGATGTTTAATGTTCTTTAATGACTGCTTATAATTAGCCAATAGTTCCCTCTTGGCATCACGTCAGCTAGTGGCATGTTTTTCAGTTTCCTTCCAGTCTCTTTTAAAATAAGTGATTTGGAAAATGACTACCTTTCATGTCTAAGTATGGGGGGGGGTGTGTGTAAAATGTACCTGTAGTGCTAAAACTGGCAAAAGGACACAGAATGAGGACAGCACAAAACCTGAGATTTCAGCTACAGCTTTTATAAACACGGCGACATACGCTGAATATGTTGTAAGCATTGCTGTGAAATGTGATTAAAAGCAAGCATGGAATCAATGATCAACTCTTTGAAAGGCTATCCAACTTTAATTGTTAAGCTAACACTTTCCTCTCATAGCATTAGCAAAGTTTTTTGTTTGTTTGTTGGGTTTAAGGATAACTAATATTGTAAGGCTGTGGGGGGAGAGTGGTACTCCCACAATTCTCGCAGTAGTTGAAATGAGTATCACCTTTAGACCCCGAAGCAATTTGACAATGGATCTGAAGGACTCAAAAAGATTCACATACTTATTCAGAAAGGCAGGAATATACCAACCCAAACAGATTTATGGGTAAGGGCCTTTGTTACATCACAACTTGTAACAGTAAAAAAAAAAAAAAAAAACGAAGCCGCGTGGCACCTGGGTAGCTCAGTGGGTTGGGCAACTGCCTTCGGCTCAGGTCATGATCCTGGAGTCCCAGGATCGAGTCCCACATTGGGCTCCCTGCTCGGCGAAGAGTCTTCTTCTCCCACTGACCTTTCGCCACTCATCCTTTCCCTCTCTCATTCTCTCTCTCTCTCTCTCTAATTAATAAATTTAAAAAAAAAATCTTAAAAAAAAAAAAAAACAACAAAGCTGCTGATGTCCACCATAGGAACTAGTTTATACAGTACAGCCATCCCCTGGAATAGTATGCAGCTATTAAAAACAAGAAAATTTTTAAATAAGATGGGACTGTTAAGGAACAAGGTATAAAGCTGTATTTGGCTATGATTCCGAAATTTTATGTGCCACTGTTGATTCCCAAGGCGTAATAAGAGAAAATTTACAATCAAGAATGGGAATTACACATGATCAAAATCCATTCCACAGCTTGAAAGGACACAGTGTTAAAGACTTGCAACCCACGTCCTAATTTTAAAAAGAAGTGTGGGAAGAGTATACTGCTGATTCAGATCCTTCTTATGAATGACAGGGATAGGAAACCAGATAATAAAGCTAAAAGTTCTATCTGCAATTGACATTCAGGCTCTTTAAACTTTGAATTTAATGAAGATTTTGCTTTTATACCACATGCATCAATGATCTCTGCCTAGGTAAGAAGTTTTGGCAGTGTGCAGTGATGAGAGAAGATCGGAAAAGGTGACGACTCAAAACCTTCCAATATACACAATTTTGCACAGTGGAAGAGGAAACACTGTGAATATGAATACACACACACACACACACACAGATTCAGAACTGCATATACATAGTTAAAGCACAGAACGCTTCCCCACCCCACTGCATGCAGAAATGCTTCAACACACACCACCTTTCCTTCCTGGGTTCATCTGTACTTAGTAGTAGTTGGAAAACTCCTAGTTTATTCCCACCACTACCATGTCCAACCAAACAAGGCTAGAAAGCATGGCCAAAATTGCTTTCATGAACTTTCTTGCAGTTACTTCTCACCTCAGTACTTCAAATGTCTCATCGAACCCCACAGATAAGTAAAAGAAAATGCCTTTGGACATTTACACATCTCGTTACACACTCCTGTACTCCAGAAAAGGAGTAACCCAAATCCATGTGACTTGAAATGACATCTTTCTGCTCAGTGCTCTTCCTTCTGACTTGGCCTGTGTGACCACAGCTCTATCTGCTCGCTTGCCAGCCTGGGCCCAAGGGCTTCCAGCAGGCCCACGACGAAGATGTTCCTGAAAACAGTCTGAAATTACAGGAAGCCCTAATCATCTGAAGTTACTGTGAAAACACAAGACAAGACACACCTAAATTGCCACCTTACCCGTTACAATTCAAACTGAAAGGGGTCTACTTGCTTGACAGTATGCACTTGTTTGCAGATGTCACACTGCAGAGCAAACAGCTGGGGGGTGTTTGGTTGGTTTCCGGTGGTCAGTTTCAGGAAATACAAGCATTCTTAGCTCTGAGCTCAGGTTCCCAATCAATATAGGTTTTGGAGACTTAAATGTTTTCCAGGCTCGAGATGTGTTAATAACTACCTTAAGCATACCATCACTTCTGCTAAAAACATTTTCTACACTCAGCCCCAAATTACTTTCAGTTCGGTTAAACAAAACAGACAAGCTGTAATAAAAGGTCTCTGAGAAATGTGATCCCTTTCATTGGTCACCCAGGAGCTTTTCCTCTTAAATCTGCTGCTTCTGGGGGAAGGAGGCGGGGGGGAGAGCATCCAAAATAATGATGCCACCCAAAGCACAATGATTTTGTAAGAAAGTTGCCTAAGATAACTCTTTCAGGATTTCCCAGGTTGAGTAATTCTTGCAGGCGGGTGAGGAGGGACAGCTCGCCTCCAAAATTACTATCTGCAGAGGTTTCCCCAATGTTGATTTTTTTTTTAAGACGTCCTTTTTAATTATACTGCAAGGGCTCTGATTTTCACATCTCTAGCTGCTAATGGGGATAGCTGAGAGCAACGCGCTAGGGCTGCGGCAGCCGCTCGGGCCAACTCCAGCGTCGGAGGGGCGGGCAGCCCACTCCCCACCCGATCCCACCCACCCCAGCACACGCGCGCACACCCGCGCCGAGACTGCGGTCCGGGCCGGTCTGCCCTGAGCTGGCGGCCGGGCCGGGACTCACCGCTGTCCAGCCGCGCGATCTGGGGCAGCCGGTAAGTGCTGACCAGCAGGTCGAGCGGAACGGCCACCGAGCTCCACTTCACATCCTTGAGGCTGCAGCCCAGCGAGGGCGCCGGGTCCATCTTCCCCGCCTCCTCCTGCCCCGCGCTCCCGCCGCCGCCGCCTCCGGCACCACCCGCGCCTTGGCGGCCGCGACTGCTCGCGCTCGCGGTCTGGGGCGCGCGGGAGGCGCCGGGCACTCCGGCCGCGGGCAGCCCGGGGGCACGGCGGCTGACGCGGACGGGAGGGACGGGGCCCGCGCCCGGCTCAGCTACCAATGCGGGGCATGGCCGGGGCGCCCCGCGTGCCCTCAAGCCCGGAGAGGACTCGCAGCAGCCCCGCGGCTGCGGGCGGCGGCAGCGGCCGGGGTGGCTGCGGCGGCGCCCGCTCCGCCTCCTTCTCTGGCCCCGGGTGTGCAGCTGCGGCGGCCGTCCGCGCGCCTCCTCCTCTTACCCCTCCTTCCCTCCGCCTCGAGCTTGTGAGGAGGAGCCGCGGGTCTGAGAAACGCCATAGCAGCGCTCCCAGCACTGACCAACAAGGTGCGAGCAACGCCTGCGCAGCTCGGGGAGACACCGCCTCCGCCTCCGCCTCCCCGGCGCCGCCCGCTCCGCCTCCCGCGGCCCGGCGGGCTAGGCTGGGCGTCAGCCTCCGGGCCGCGGCCGCCGACGCCTGCGGCTCGGCGAGCTCTAGAAGCTTTAGCTCTCGCTCCCCCGTCCGACGGGTCCCGCGCCCTGCAGCCTCCCGGGCGTCGCCGCGCGCCCAGACTCCTTCCTCGTCCAGGGCCCTTCCGGGAGCCCAGCACGACCCGAGCGAGCTCGCGAGTCGTTCCCCTAGTCGTGGCGTCGGGCACTGTCCCGTGCTACTCCCCACCCTGCCGCTGGAGTGGCTAATACGGGCCACAGGAGAGACCTCTTTGGTGTCCACCTCTTGAGAGTGTCACAGAGAGACCGGGAGGGAAAGGCAGGCGTGGAGCACTCCTTGGCGATTCTCCCCCAACCCCACAACTCTACCACTGGGGCTGGAAGTTAATCCTACCAGTCTAGACTTTGCTGGGCAGCCCGGACAACGCCAAAGCACCGAGATGCAGAAGGGTGATGATGAGTGATCAGCGTCCACAGAAGGGAAGGTGACCGTTGGGTTCAGTACCTTCGTTGTATGAACTGAGATGCTGGAGACCGCGGGGTAGGAGGTCACCAACCCCCATAAACACGTCCAGGGAAAGAGCAAACCACCTGGAGCCTACTGGGGCCAGCTGTTTTCACATGATTTTCTCAGTTCTCTTCCAGTCTTTAAGGTTGGGATAATTCCCGTTTTCTAGAAACGCATACCAAGACTTTAGGTACTTTGGCAAGATGACACAGCTTGTACACAGCAGTGCTAGGATTCAAATCCACAGCTTACTTTCCGTGGTAAATCGTTGTTTCCCCCAGTATTGCAGTATGGCCTGCTCTATGCAGACGCAGCTCAGAAGGGAAAGGTACTGTAGAGTTCCTCTTTAAGCAGATCCTGACCTTTGTGTGCTCATCTTTTTTTAGCATTATTTTACACTAGCAGAGGTGAGTGGTTACCAAGTGAAACGGTTGCATATCAACTCTTTCAGTTTTTCCAACACGTATCCAGTGTTTCGTGCGTGAGACAGAACAAGCGCCTGCTTCTCCAACCCAAAGGGATTTGAAAACACCCAGCTGCCTTTCAGTGGGCTGACTTAGGTGTATTCTGTGCCAATGAACAAACCCTTCCATTAGCAACTGAAGAACAACACCAAGAATCTTCTACACCCACCTTCCTTGCCCTCTCACTTGGAGGCATGGGCCACAGTTCTCACAAAATTTTTTTGCTGAAAGTTTTGACCTCTGTGTCACACACATCAATTTTTTAAAAAAGTCTTAGGGAAAAGTGAGAAATATCTTAATATATTATTTTACTCAGAATCACAGGCCAATTTAAGTTATAAGGTTTTGCTCATAGAAGAATTTTGAAAAAAAAAAAAACAAAAAAACGCAAGAAATGAGGGGTGCCTGGCTGGATCTGTGGGTAGAGCATGTAACTCTTGACCTAGGTGTCATGAGTTTCAGCCCCACCTTGGGTATAGGGTTTACTTAACAATAACAATAATAATAATTTTTAAAAATAAGGAGCTAAGTGCCAGCTAATTTTCTTCTATCCAAATTATTGTTTTAAATAATTATTATTATTTAAGTGTTTTAATTCCAGTTGGTTAACATACAGTGCAGTATTAGTTTCAGGTGTAAAATACAGTGATTCAAACAATTCCATACATCACCCCGTGCTTATCATGATCTAAATAATTATTTTTGGAAATAAAGTTCAGATTCCAAAAATGAAATAAGAAACATTTAAGAATGGGCAGGGTGGAGGTCCTTCAACTAGGTAAATCCTGAAACCTTATATGACAGAAAGACTTCTTAAAAAAAAAATAATTTTCTCCTGTTATGATATCCTTTTTAAAAGCTTCAAGGAATAAAATTCCCATAATTCCCTCTCATGCCAGGATTGGTGACTTATGACCTAAAGACAAGATAAAAAGTAAAAAGATTAATGCAGTCAGCTTTTTTTAATCAATAAAGGACTTACATTAGATTTGCTCTTATTGCTGACCTCGCAGAAAAAGGTTTCATTGTAATCTTGAGTATTAGAGGGAAGACACTTTAATGAGCTACAAATTCTTACGTGAGGCTTCCTGTCCTAGGAGAATGCTTACAGAAAGATCTTATGTGTGATGTGGAGAGAGTTTTGGTTAAGCTGTAAGGAAAATCATTTAAGAAAGGTAATTTTTCCGCCTAGCTGAACTGCACTTCCACACATGGCATGAGGAATTGTTTCTTAAGATTGTTGGACCAATGCAAACCTTGTAGATAAAGGCATAACAACTGGGTGCAGGGACAAAACTTATAGGATTTGTAGGTTATTAAGAAGGGAGTATCTAAGAAAAGCTTTCTCTAAGGCAAAATTCCATGTGCCGGTCCCTTGTCTCCTACGAGGTACTTATAAAATTGAGACTTGTGAGAGGCAACATATTATGGCGATTAAAAATACCAACTCCAGAGCCTGATGGCACGAATATGATTAGTGCCTCTGTTCTTGTGTGGGATCCTGGGCAACTAGCTATTTCCTTCTCTAAAAAATGAGGGTAATTGCTATAGATTTGAATGTTTGTGCCCCCCCCCCCGCATTCTTTTGATAAAACCTAATCCCCAAAGTGATGGTATTTGGAGGTGGGGCCTTTGGGAGGGGACTAGGGGTATGAACCAGGAAGCTACTCTCTTTAGACATGGAATCTTCCAGCACCTTGATCTTTGACTTTGCAGCCCCCAGAACCATGACAAATGACTTTCTGTTGCTTTTAAGCCGCCCAGTCTGTGGTATTCTGTTACAGCAGCTTGAACAGAGTAAGATAATAATAATAGTGTCTCATCGGGTTGATATGAGAATTTTATCATTTAATATAATGATAATAATATAAATATAAATATAAATATAAATATAAATATAAATATAAATATATTTAATATATGTGGAGCATTCAGAATAGTGCCTGACACATAGGAAGTGCTATGGAAGTAGCTACTGTTCTTATGAAAAGAAGTAGTGGCTTTGAATGGAAGCAAATTTTAAAGAAAAGATGAAGAGACAAACGGAAGAACGGTTTATATGAACAAGGACTAGAGGAACATTCCTCAAGTGGGAAACGGAGGTGCCTGCTCTAAGCTGTGAGACCTCACTCCCCAAATCAAGAGTCTGTGGGGTTAACCTCTTCCACAGTGAACCAGCCTTGCTACATAGCAGATCCAGGCAGTGACCTTGATGGCTCTTCAGATGCTGATCTAATGATGTTGATAAATCCAAGGCTGAATCAGGCATACGATACTATAGGACTCTGTATGAGGCACGCTTCACAGCTTCCCAACTGTGAAACTACTGTTTATACATACATAACTTGTTAATTCCCTGTATTATCAGCTTTGAAAGATAAAATTATTACATGTTGGTTTTCCTCATATCAGCGTGTCCTGGGGCACATAATATGCTAGCAGTCAAGTGTGATATCAAAGTTCACAGCCCTGGTGGTTTTCTAGGTCTCTAAACTCTTTTCCCTTTCAATTAATTTCCACATCATTTCCAGAGTTGACTTAAAAGTTACTCCCTGACCAAAATCCTGTACCATATCTGTATCCTCCTTGTCTGTGGAATATAATATAAAGCCTTCTGCATGATAAAAGAAGTTCTTCCCGTATGTGACGGTCTGCCTCCCAGCCTCATTTGGGTTGACCACCTTCTGACACCCTAGGATCTAGCAGCAGTATCTTCATGGAGTTGCCCAAAGGTGCCATGCGAAGGCACACCATTGAAGAGGTCCTTCTGTCCCCAGGATATGCCTTTCTCCCTTTCTCTTCCTGTGAAACTCCTAGTCAGCTCCGCCTACAGTAGTTCCCCCTTTATCCGCGGTTTCGCTTTCCGTGATTTCTGTGTCCGGGTTAACCGCAGTCTGGAAGCCCATGATCCTCCTTCCGACCAGTGGCGGGAAGGTCAGTCGCAGTCTGTCCCTGTGTCTCAAGCCTGCAAGGCTCACCTCCGTTCATCTCCTCACAAAGGTTTTTTAGTATCTCACATCATCACAAGAAGAAAGGTGAGTACAGTACAATAAGAGATACTTTGAGAGACAGACTACACTTACAAAGCTTATTGTAGGGCATTTTTATAATTGTTCTATTTTATTAGAGTTGTTGTTATTACTCTCTTATGGTGCCTAATTTATAAATTAAACTTTGTCGTAGGTGTGTATGTATAGGAAAAAAACATATTCCACAGCGCTCGAGGGTCTGGCACTACCCCTGGTTTTCAGACACCCACTGGTGTCTTGGAAGAATCCTCTGTGAATGAGAAGGGACATCCTCCACAATGCTGACCAGTTCTTTTCCTGTATCACCACTGTACCTGGCAAGACCCCTTTTTAATTGTACTAATTGCGCTCTAGTTTATTATCTGTTTTTATGTTACCTTTCGCTGCTAGACAGCAATTAACCGTGGCTGCTGAAAGTGTATTTTATTCACCTTTGTTTCTCTGCCTCCTGCCTCCCAGCCTGGCACATGGAAAGTACTCAATTAATGTTTGTCAACTTGACTAACAAGCTGAGTCATGAGTCATCCTCTCGCTCTATATTACTTAATAGGTCACTGCATCTTGGAATTATAAACAATTATTATTCATTTATTGAATCTAGAAAACAACAATGTTTACTATCAGATTGGTGCCGGATTTTGTTCATTCACCTGAAAATTTGAATTTCATTGAGATCAAGATGTGCTCTTTTGCCACTGAACTGGAGAGGTACCTCTAGACTATCAGTTACAACATTTACTAGAACTGTTAGCATGTTGTTAGCTTATTGTCTGTTAATTTGTAGTCTCCCTTACAGAGACTTTACCCTCAGAGGGGTTTGCATGCCTAGCACCTGGCAATCAGTAGGGATACTCTCTCAATAGATGAGATAGATAGATGGGTAG